GCGCCCCCCCCCCCCCCCCCCATCAAAAGGGCGGGGGGGGGGGGGGGGGCAGGTGGCAGGGCTGAGCTGCACATGTGGGCAGGGCACGTGGGCACGTTCAGCTGGCAAGCAGCCCGGTGCCAGCGTGTTAATGGGGACTGGGGAGGAGGGCAGGTGCCAGCCCTTGGCACCACTGCATATGACCTCACCCGCCCCTGTGCACCGCCTTCAGACCCCACTCCCTGCCCCCCCACCCCAACGTGTGCTGCTTGACCTGGTTGTGGCTCCTCTGAGCAATGGGTTCGTGCCCTGCCTGCGGCTCCTGCCTCCCCCGTGGGGCGGCTGTGGGGGCGGATGTGGCAGGTCGTGCCTGTGCGGATCGGAGCCGCACTCCCCCACGTGGGCGCTGGTGCATGTGGGGGCAGGGGTGCGGGTTGGGAGTGCAGGGCACCGGGGGGGCGTTGTGCAGAGAGACTTAGCGCATCACCCCCCGCCCCCCCGCCCTACTTTTCTCCGTCGGCATGTGCAAACGTGCATGTGCAAGCGTGGGTGTGCAAGCGCGCGCATGTGGCTCCTGACCTGCGTGTCCCGCAGGCGGCGTGATCCTGTTCGCGGGCTCTGGCCCCCGCAGCCCGCCCGGGGGCCCAGCTGTGCTGCCCGCAGCACTGGAGGAGCTGTCGCTGGCCGAGCTCGGGCCACCACCGCCGGGCATCTCTCCTGCCTCGCCCGGCCTCACCTTCCCCTTCGCCGACAGCGGCCGCTGCCCCGGCCCAGGCCAGAGCCAGAGCCAGAGCCAGAGCCGGGTGGCCAAGCAGGGCGGAGCCCCCGGCACCTTCCCCAGTGAGTGCTTCGAGCTGGGAAACTGAGGCACAGGAGGGTGGAGGGGGAAACCAGGCGTCTGGGCGCCTTCCCCAGGGAGTGCCTCTAGCTGGAGAAACTGAGGCACAGGCAGGTGAGGGGCGGGGGAGAACCCAGGTGTCTGGGCACCTTCTCCAGTATGTGCCCCCAGCTGGGGAAACTGAGGCACAGGCAGGCTGGGTGGAGGTGGGGGGCAGGACTCTCAGTTCCCCATGCTGCGACCGCCCCCCATCCTCTTCCCTGCTTCAACCAGTGGCCCCAACTCCTCCCCCAGGAGGTGTCCAGGCTCCCAGCCCTCTCCCCCCACTCCCTGCCCTGCAGCCATCCATTGGCCAGAGCAATAGGAAGGGCTGGGGGAGCATCGGGTCCGGGCAGCGCTCACCCCTCCCTGCTTCCCTCCTCCCGGCAGAGGCGGGGGGGCTGGTGCTGCTCTGCAAGGTCTGCGGGGACATCGCCTCCGGCTTCCACTATGGCGTCCACGCTTGCGAGGGCTGCAAGGTGAGGCGGGCTGGCGGGGCCCTGGCAACAGGATGCCCCTGGCAACCACCCGGGCATCGCCATGGAGTTGTCTCCGGGGCATCTCACCCCTGGGCGGTGAGGTAGCAGGTGATGCGGCACCATGCCAACCAGCGGGGTGTCCCCATGGAGTTGTCTCCAAGACAACCCACCCGTGTGGGGCAGGCCAGCAAGTGATGGGGCACCATGGGGCTGGGAAACCCTCCTAGCAACCAGCAGGGCATCACTATGGCGCGGTCCCCAAGGGCTGGGGTGCGGGCGGCTGGGTCTGACTCCCGGTGCCGGTGCCGGCAGGGCTTCTTCCGGCGTAGCATCCAGCAGAACATCCACTACAAGATGTGCGTGAAGAACGAGAGCTGCCTCATTGTGCGCATGAACCGCAACCGCTGCCAGCACTGCCGCTTCAAGAAGTGCCTGGCCGTCGGCATGTCCCGCGACGGTGAGTACCCCCCAGCCTGGCCGGGCACTTTGGGACGGGAGGTGAGAGGGTCTGGGGTGGGGAGTTAAGCAGCTCCCCCTCCACCGCAGCTTTGCAGGGCTGTCCTGGGCGCCTGTGGGGCCCCCTCTGCACCCTTCCCTGCCAGGGGCTGTTTGCACCCCACTCATCCTCGATGCCCCCCACAGCCGTGCGCTTTGGGCGCATCCCCAAGCGGGAGAAGCAGCGCCTGCTGGATGAGATGCAGAGCTACATGAGCAGCCTGGGCGAGGCGCCCCTGGACACGGGGCTGGCGCCCGAGGGCGAGGCGCCACCCAGCCCTGTCGCCCAGGAGGAGGAGGCCATCGGCGCCATCTCCCGCGCCTACCACGACATCTTCGGCAGCGGGCAGGACCGGGCAGGCGGGCCTGGCCCCCCACCTGGCTACGCCGACCTCTCGCCTGGCTACGGCTACGGGCAGCACGACCCTGCCAGCCTGCGTCTCCCTGGGTACGACCCTGCCGGCTACCCCGACAACACCTCCCGGCGCTATGGCCACGACCTCTACGGTGCCCAGCAGCCCGGCTACCTCCCCCCACGCACCTGCCCATGGCGGGGGGCAGCCAGCAGAGGCATTGTAAGTACGGGGCTGGCCCCAGCTGGGAGGAATGGGGGACCCAGCACAGGGCCCTTGCCCGGGGGGACATAGGGCAGGCACGGCTGGGCATCTGGGGGGAAACTGAGGCACAGAGAGGCCAGCGGTGGCATCCGGGCCATGCACTGGAGTCAGAGCTGGGAATAGAGCTCAGGGGTCTGGGCTCCCAGACTGGGCTCCTTAGACCCAAGCACTCTCCCAGAGCTGGAAATACAACCCAGCAGCCACAACCCTGCAGCTCCCTCCAGCCCTGGACAAACCAGTCACCATGCGGGGCAGGGGGCTGGGCAGAGCAGGATGGACCCTGGGGGGGTTGGGAGCCAGGCACCCCAGTGTGGTGGAGCTGACTCTGCCCCGCCATGCTGCCCAGGCCTGCCCGCTCAACGCCAGCCCCTGCTGCAGCCCAGGCACCAGCCGGCAGCAGGCGTGGGAGGAGTTCTCGCGCTGCTTCACGCCTGCTGTCAAGGAGGTGGTGGAGTTCGCCAAGAGCATCCCCGGCTTCCAGGGTCTCTGTCAGCAGGACCAGGTCATGCTGCTCAAGGCCGGCACCTTCCAGGTGTGTGTGTTTGTGTTTGTGTTTGTGTGTGTTAATGCACTGCCCCTTGCAGGGGGGATCCAGCTTTGTGTGTGTGCACACATGTGTGTGTGCATGTTGCCCTGCTGGAGGGAGCCAGCCCTGCTTTGTGCGTGCGTGTGCACGTGTGTGCATGCATGCACTGCCCCATGCTGGAGGGATCTGGCCCTGTTCTCTGTGTGTGCAGGCACATGTGTTTGTGTGCATGCATGTGCATGTCTGTGCATGCATGTTCTTGTGCATGTGTGTGCAGGGGTCCAGTTCTGTATGTATTTGCACTCCTCCATACCTCGTGTTGTGGGTGTCTTCACCTCCGCCCGCGCAAACGGGTTTCCTAAGCCCTGCTGCCTGCTCCCAGCCACCGTCTGAACTGCTGGGGCCACGTGGCTTAGCTCCAGTGCTGCCCGCAGGGGCGCTCCCTGCACTGCGCCAGGCTGGGCAGGGCAGGGCACACTGACCGGGGTTCCCCGCAGGTGCTGATGGTGCGCTTTGCGGCGCTCTTCGACCCCAAGGAGAAGGCGGTGACGTTCCTGAGTGGGGAGACACACGCATTGGGCGGGCTTCGGGCCATGGGGATGGGTGCCCTGCTCGATGCCATGTTTGACTTCAGCGAGAAGCTGGGCACCCTGGGGCTTGACGCCCAGGAGATGGCACTCTTCATGGCCGTCGTGCTCGTCTCCGCAGGTGGGGGAGCGCTTCGGGGGGAGTGGGGGGATTCTGCTCTCCACCCCTGGGCAAGAAGAAGGCTTGGTGACAAGTCACAGCTCAGCCTGGGGGTATCCGGGCAGCCAAAGCCTGGCCCCTTCCAGCCCCGGTGGGGTTTGTCCCAGGGCTTTCACAAATAAGCATTGCCCAGCTGGGGTTGGGGGCTTCCAGACGTGCGAGAGAGGGGCGGGGGGTTCGCAGGTCTGCATTATAAGTCCTGTTCCTCCCTTCCCTCCCCCGGAGAGTTTGGTCCCTGTGTTGGGAGAGGCCACATGTGTCATACACCCCGTACGGCTGCCTCCTTGCTCAGGGGATCCCCCTGGGACCGGGCGGGTGTTACCAGGCAGCTCTGCACGCTCCACAGACCGCTCGGGCATCTCAGACGTGGAGGCTGTGGAGATCCTGCAGGAGACCCTGATCCGGGCGCTGCGGACGCTGGTCACCAAGAAGCACCCCGACGACTCCACCCTCTTCCCCAAGCTGCTGCTGCGCCTGCCTGACCTGCGGACCCTCAACAACCAGCACGCGGAGAAGCTCCTCGCCTTCCGCATCGACCCCTGAGCCAGAGCTGGAGCCAACGTCGCTCGCGGACTGGGTGGAGGGAAGGGGGTGGCCGGTGCTGCTGGGCAGCCCCGTGGAGCCAGGCTCTGCTTGCCTCAAGCCCATGCCGGGCCCCCCCGCCCGGCATGGTGGCCTGGACTGATCCCCGCCGTGGCAGACTGTGCACGGCACTGTACATATGCCCTACTTTCCTCTGGCAGCACATGCAAACGTGCGTGTGCAAGCCTCTCTATTGCCCCGAGGCTCGCGCCTGTATATATCCAGCCTGCCTGCGTTGTACATGCCAAGTAGGTCCCAGGGGACAGATGCCCCCCAGCTGCATGCTGTGTTCCCCCATGTCTCCCCTCCCTGCCCCTTCCCAGCCCAGGCTCGCTCCTGCAGGAGTCCTGGGGGGCTGCATTTGTTTCCAGCTGTGGGGAAGAGCCATGCCAAGAGGCTGTCCCACAGCTCCTTCACTCCCATCTCCCTGTTCCCCCCACCTGCTGTGTTTGGTCTTGGATTTTTTAACATCTCAAGCAAAAACGGGGCTTCCACTGATGCCTGGCACAGCTGAGCCTGCGTCTCTGTGGCTTGCAGGGGGCTCAGCAGCCTGTGGGGAGGGGTCCTGGTTCTCCGAGGGGGGGCAGCTTGCTGGCTGACCTCCCTGGGGACCTCCCTTTGCCCACGCAGGTCCCACCTTGGGCCACGGGGCTTCCTGAAGATGGACTCTTCCCTGCTGAAGAAGCTGTGTGGCCCACATTGAACATAGGAGACCTGCCTCCAACTCTTCCGGGTCTCCCTGACCTCCTGTTCCTCTAACCACTAGACTCAATTCCCCTTCCGGGCGGGGGGGCAGTCACTGGGCTGGGGTCCAAGCACAGGGCAATGCCCGCCCCCCATCACATCCCCGTACATATCAGGTCAGTGCGGGGATGGGGTGGGAGGGACAGATACGCCCAGCCCACCCCATGCATGGCGCGAGCGGGGGGTGTTCTCTGCAGGAGCGTGGAACTGCTGCTGCTGCTGCTTTGTTCGGTCGTCGGAAGAAAAAAGCCCCCAAACTTTGCACTTTTATGAGGAATGATGCACAGCGAATCCTCCCTCGCCCTCTGGGAGTCGGGCCGGGGGCAGCCGGACGCCGCGGACAGAGAGCGTTTATTTTTTCTCGAATATCAAAGTGCAATAAACTGAAGGAAAACAGAGCTGTGCGTGGCAGCGTGGCCCAGGCGCGGCTGTCGTGGGACCGGGGCTGGGTTGATGGGGGGGGTGTAATCCTGCACCCTGAGCCCCCAGCGTCAGGAGCCAGGGGAGCTGGGTGGAAGCCGGTCCATCGCAGGAGCCGGGAGCGGGCCGGGCCACCTGCCTTGCCGGGTCTGGGCGTGCCACACCGTGGGACCAGGCTGGGAGCTGCGCCGTGGCTTGTGGCCCCCGCTGACGGCTGCCCTGCGGCGCTCCCCGGCTGTGCCCACACCATTGCTGTGCTGCGCCCATTCCAGGGCCACGCTTGCCCACGGCCACAGTCAGCTCATGCCAGGGTCATGCTCCCCCCGCAGGGATGCCGGTTGCCATGGCAATGCAAGGATGGCATGGGGGGGCAGTGGGTTTTTTCTTAATGACAACCAAGGGGGAAGGGACAGAGCAAAAGTGGGAGTCAAAAGTCACAAAGAAGGTAAAAGGTCACAGCGGCATGGGTCACATGACACAGCCCAACATGGCGGCGCCCAGGAGAGGCAACGCGGAAGCGGGGCATCACGTGACACCGCCCACAAGAGGCAACATGGAAGTGGGTGTCGCGTGACGGCGCCCAGGCCAGGGAACGCGAAAATGGAGGATCACGTGCCCTAAGAGGCAACGCGGAAGAGGGCGGGTTAATCACGTGACACCGCCCAACATGGCGGCGCCCAGGAGAGGCAACGCGGAAGCGGAAGTGGGGGCGGGTGCGGGGCGGCGACGCCGGCAGCCCCAGTGTCCCGGGCGAGAAGTGAGGAGCCGGGGCCGAGCCGGAGTCCGTGTCCCGGCGGCCCCAGTGTTTCCTGGAGACGGGCCTGAGGGGAAGCCTTCGGGCAGGGCTTGTGCTGGCTGTCCCGAGTCCCCCACCCGTCTGGCAGCGTGTCCCTTTCTGGCCCCAGGAGCCGCGGAGCAGAGCCCGGGCAGCGCAGGATGCTCTGAGGCACCATGTTCTTCACCGCGTACGTGGCCTTCGTGGTCCTGCTGGCGATATGCCTGGGCTTGGAGTTCTCCGCTTGCCGCTCCAGGCTCACGGGCAGCGCCTGCACCAACCCGGCCTTCCTGCGCTTCCAGCTGGACTACTACCAGGTGTACTTCCTGGCGCTGGCGGCCGACTGGCTGCAGGGCCCCTACCTCTACAAGCTGTACCAGCACTACCACTTCCTGGAGGGACAGATCGCCATCATCTACGTGTGTGGCTTTGCCTCTAGCGTCCTCTTCGGGCTGGTCTCCACCTCCCTGGTGGACTGGCTGGGCCGCAAGAAATCCTGCATCCTCTTCTCCCTGACCTACTCCATCTGCTGCCTCACCAAGCTGTCATGGGATTACTTCGTGCTGGTGGTGGGGAGGATCCTGGGCGGCCTGTCCACGGCCCTGCTGTTCTCCGCCTTCGAGGCGTGGTACGTCCATGAGCACTTGGAGCGGCACGACTTTCCCGCTGAGTGGATCCCCGCCACCTTCGCCAGAGCTGCCTTCTGGAACAACGTCATCGCCGTCGGGGCCGGCGTGGCGGCCAACCTCTTTGCCGAGTGGGCAGGGCTGGGCCCGGTGGCGCCCTTCATGGTGTCCATCCCTTTCCTTGCGCTGGTCGGCATCTTCGCCATGAAGAACTGGGAGGAGAACTACGGTAAGAAGCGGGCGCTTTCCAAGACCTGCACGGACGGTCTGAAGTGCCTCCTCTCGGACCGGCGCGTCCTGCTGCTGGGCATCATCCAGGCCTTGTTCGAAAGCGTCATCTACATCTTCATCTTCCTCTGGACACCTGTGCTGGACCCCCATGGGCCTCCGCTGGGCATCGTCTTCTCCAGCTTCATGGCTGCCAGCATGGTGGGCTCATCGCTGTACCGCATCGCCACCTCCAAGCGGTACCACCTACAGCCCATGCACATCCTCTCCCTCTCCGTCCTCATGGTCTTCTTCTCCCTCTTCATGCTGACGTTCTCCACCAACCCAGGGCAGGAGAATCCCTCCGAGTCCTTCCTAGCCTTCCTGCTTATCGAGCTCTCCTGTGGGCTCTACTTCCCGGCCATGGGCTTCCTCCGCCGAAAGGTGATCCCTGAAAAGGACCAAGCGGGTGTCCTGAACTGGTTCCGGGTGCCCTTGAACCTGCTGGCCTGCCTGGGCATGCTCATCCTGCACGACAGTGACTACAAGACGGGCACCCGGAACATGTTCACCATCTGCTCCGTCATGATGGTCATGGCACTGCTGGCCGTCGTCAGCCTTTTCACCGTGGTGCGGAACAACGCTGAGCTGCGGGTGCCGCCTTTGCAGGGACACACAGAGCCGTCATCCCCAGAGCTCTGAGCAGGGGTTGCAGCCACCTGGCATGACAGAACAACCCTTGCCAGCTGGCATGGTCCCAGAGGGCAGTGGGATGCCTGTGATCCTCCTGTAGAGAGCAGGGCTCTGTAGGATACAGGGCTGCTGAGGAGAAATGAGCTCTGAGGCCTGGGCCGCAGCATTGGACTCATGTATTCTGACTCTTTTGGGGAGCTTGCTGTTCTGACGTGGTGCGGCACCCCTGGGTTCTCCTCTTGCCCCCGGTGCTCCCAATTCTCTCCTTCCCCTCCTCTACCTCTTTTCTCAAGCTGCCAATGTCAGTGGTGCTGGGGAAGGGCCTGCCTGTGGCAGGCAACACACTGGTGGCAGGGCCCAGCCACCTGGTTCCCAGCATTTGCCGGCAGGGGGATTGTCTGTGTATTAAAGTATTGACCCCCTGTCACTGCAGAAGCCAAGGGTCCCCCTCCACTCTGGTTATTATTTTTTAAGAAAAATAAAACTGCTTCCACAGAATGGTTTTTGAGCCTGCGAGGTTTCTTTCTGGGCTCGGGCTGTGGACGGGTCAGGATCCAAGCAAGAAAGAACCAGTCCCACGTTGCTGCGTCTGCAGAGCGTGGGGAGGCAAAGGTGGCAGAGGCTGAGCGGTTCTTGCAAGACACCTTGCAGTGCTGCCCTGGCTTCTCCCCATGCTCAGAGGAGCTGTGGTGCTGGAGGCCATCCCAGGGTGATTGGGCATGCAGCTGCTGGAGGGGGCAGGGGCAGGCAGCCCAGTATGGGCTGGGGAACCTGGTGTACTCGCAACCTCATGTACGTCTCCTAGAGGCAGGGGTGTTGGAGAGGCTGAGGCCTGGGACCACCCAGCAGGTCATTGCCCAGAAGTGTGTCTGGTCTCGCCCTCCTCCCGCATCCTCTTCCCAGGTTTTCTCCTTTCTTCCCTCTTTTCCTTCTGTTTTCCTGGGGAAGCACTGGCTGCCAATCCCTGTCCTGGGTCCTTTCCAGCTGCAGGGGGTGCGTGGGAGTGCTTGCACCAGCTCACAGCTCAGGGGCCTTCCCTGCTCCTCAGTAGGCAGCCGCTGCTGTTGTCCCTGCACACGCCGTGCCACAATGTGGACAGCTCAGCAACTCCTTTACCCTTAGGTTAAACCTTGGACTCATGGACCTGGCACATGCCCAGGGCTTCTGTTTGTGGCTGCCTTGGTCCACTCAGGCTCTACCTCCCCTGGGTCTGGACTCCCAGTCCATTCACGGCCCCCTGGCCTGGACCTTGGCTCCTGCTATGGCAGCTGCAACTGCCTTCATACCAATCCTCCAGCACAGGATGGTGGTTGTTGGCTGTCAGCTGGAGAGGGCCTTCCCAGGCTTCCAGCCTCCTCCCCAGTACCTCCAACTCAATTGTCCTTGCTGACAAGATGCTGCCATGTCCCTGCCCTGGTCCCGCTTCCCCCAACCCCCAGATATGTCTCATTAGGGTTAAGCCAACACAGGAGACATTTTGGTGCTTGATCTATATAGTAGTGGCAGCGGGGAAGCTCAGAGGGCTTCAAGTATCGAGGTAGTTTTAACAGGAGCCTTAATGGGGCCATGCAATGTTTTATCTGGCCATAAATGTTTAAAATAGGAGAAGCTAGAGCCTTGGTGGGCTAGTCTCCCAGCTCTTTCCCCCGCTCCTGCCTGCACTCCCTGATTGGAAGGGCAAGTTTGACTTCTTGTGCTCCTCTACCTCCCACTCACCTGAGGAGGGAGTTGACAGCCACAGGGGCTAAGCTGTTGGAGGGTGGCATGTGGCTCAACCCGTCTCTGTCAGTCCCACTGGGTGGAACCGTTTGCAGGATAAAGGCCTGTACAGAAATGCTGGGACCCTGCTCTGGGAGTGAACCAGCCAGAACCTCCTGCGAGACATCTGGAACTGTGCTGATCTTAGACCATTCAAGGGCTCAGGAGCCAGGTGTCCCATAAAGTGGTGGGGTTAATTGTTTCCATAATAAACTGAGGCAGTTGTTCTCTTTCGTCGCCTTCTCGGTGTCTTGAGATTTAGGGTCAGGCTCCAGTCCTGATTCCAGGCTTCTGTGTTCTTTTGTAGGTGACGGAAATGTCTGTGTGGATACAGGATCACTCCGATTCTCCCCGCGACAGTTGGAGGAATAAACATTGAGTGTCCTAGGACTCGGGATGCAGCTGTGAAGCCATGCAGCCCTGGGATCTGACAGCTGTGCACCAGCAAGCCCCTCAGCCATGCTGCTAGCACAGGGGTGGCCAGCCTGCAGCTCCAGAGCCACATGTCGTTCTTCAGAAGTCAATATGCGTCTCCTTGAATCTTTGCACAAGCACATGGTGACCAGCTTCAGGAGATGCATATTAACTCAGGAGCTCGTGAAGTTTTAATAAAGACTCGAGCAGTCCCAGATTCCAGGCGACACCGAGCCCCGAGCCTTCAACAAGTCATCGGGTGCATGCCAAAAAGCAGAGGATCAACTGAAAACTAACCTAGGGTGTGTGCCCTCTTGCAGGGTCAGGCTGGGATCCTGGTTCCTAGATTTTCTGCCTGCAGTGAGTTGGAAATCTTTGCAATAAAAAGAGGTTCCCCTCGATAAAGTGAAGCCGAGAGCAGGTGCTTAGTGGAGGGGGATCAAGTGCTGCGATTGAATCGTGCCGGCAGCCAGGGCCGGGTTCTGCTGAGCCCGTTCGGTGTCTCTGCTCTTTGCCGGCAATTTGCCTGTCCTGGTGCCAAAGGCCTCGAGCACAGGCACAGACTTGAAGGGGGTGAGCAAAACCAACCTGAAAATGCCCAAATGCCCGGTGAGGTTTTTTCCCCATTCCCATCTTTTCCCTTGGTGTCAGGCATCCTGTTCCTACGGTTTTGTCCCGATGAAGCCAGACTGAGGGCGAGCAAGGGGGGCCAAGGAGCAGACAAAACAGCCCCCGCAGCCAAGAGCTCGGCCCTCGAAACCACCTGGACGAGAGCAAAGAGGGAGTGAGCAGAGGGGCCCCTGGGGCCCACCCAGGTCGCTCCCCTACGTGGTCTGTGCCACACGGCTTGCACACGCAGCCAGCTGGGCACGCTTTAGTTTGTGCGGGGCCCTGAGAGGGTTTTGCATGTGTTTCACAGGCACGCACACACACACGCCTATTGTTACACTGGGGGGGGGGCAGGCATGTTGGGGATGGCTCAGTGCAGACCAAGCTTTGCACACTCAGGCTTAGACACGCAGGTGCCTTGAGCATGGCCCAGTTTGCACAACACATGCCCTGCTTTGCACACAGGCTTGCACATGCAGCCGGCTGAGGCACACAGCACTTTCCACATGCGGGGGGAAAGGGGCACGCCAAGCATTGCACACATGGGGGCTGGGGGCACACCTAGCATTGCACACATGATTTGCACACACAGGAGCTGGGGGCACACCGAGCACTGCACACATGATTTGCACACACGGGGGCTGGGGGCACACGCAGTTTGCACACGCAGGGCGCTAGGGGCACACGCAGGTTTGCACGCACGCTCCCATCCCATCGCTGCCT